TTGTGGTGAATAGCTGGAAAACACTTTTTGTTTTATCTGCAGTGTGGGTTTGGTCTGGAAGATGCTAAAGTCACATTCAGTTAAAAATTTGAGCTCAAAGAAGAAGATATGAGCAAGGGAAGGCTGCAAGTGTTCTGCTTGCCTAGGCTGGTGGCATGTATGCAGGTATTTTGAAAAGAGATTAATGTAATTTAGAAATTAACCATGGGCTGTAATTATCCCTTGATTGCAATATTTTTTTCTTTTTGCTTTCTGTGAAATCTTGGATTCATAAATTCAGAATGGTTTCAGCACGAACAAAAACTCAGGGTGAGGTTGTAAGCTCATGACTGGATTGACTGCAGCAGAACTGCTCAAGGTAACATGTTCCCCAGTTTCTACAGCATGTCCTGTGTGGGCTGGAGGGTGCTCTGTTGCCAAAAGCAAGGGCTAATTTGTAATGAATAATTTATTCACAAACTTCACCTTTCTTTCCTGTTCTGCTCTCAAAACAGTGAGCAAATAGACAACATTTATTCGGATATTAGAAATGGTTTTTTTTTTGATTTGTGACTGCTATCAGTGTACAGTTGGAGCTATGAAGTGTTTGGGGTGTTTGTGCAGTGGTTTGTATGTGGCTTATGTACACGTGCTGGGGGTCCTTGTGCTTACACTGGTGGGGAACTGTGAAAATTCATCTCTGTAAATACATGGTGGGCTTAGATTGGAAACACTTGGTAGCAGAATCCCACAAACGTTGTCTTCAGGCCAACTTGAACACACGAGTGTCCCTGCCTTGCTGGAGCTGTGCTTGTATTGAATTAGTTGCTTTGGATAACTTTTGCTTTAAGACCTGCTGCAGCAGGTTTCCCTTAAGGCCTTGCCTCTTGCAGTTTGAGAATCTCAACTTAAAAGCAAAAAAAAAAAACCCAACCAACAAACTCCAAAGCTCACTGCAAGCCCTTAACGTGGTCAGTGAGGCATAAACTTAAACTGTAAAATCCATAAATCCAAGGACAACAGTCTTCACCCCTTCTGTAATTTTCCACAGGCTTTCAGCCTTCTCGATTTGACGCCCAAATTCTTAAATGCCAAGAGTCACTGGTGTCCGTGATGGCTTTGATCCTCAGGAGAAGTGACTGAGGTTTTTTCCTTGCAGCTGGTCACCGCAGTCAGATTTGTCTGCTAAATGCAGGCGCTCGGGCAACAGGCAGCACCACTTCTCGGGTGATGGATTGCCACGGATGCGGCTGTGGCAGGTTGACTCCAGGTGGCAGCAAAGCCTCACTTGCTGGGATAAGAGACAGAGGAAAGCGCAAAAGCAAGGAAAAAACTGCAATTCCAGGCTGGGATAACAACAGTTTAGCAAGTGAAGAGTAAAAAAGAAAAATAGTGATGCAAAAGCAATTACTCGTCACCAGCCTGGCTGTAGTAGCTGTAACATCCTGGTGTTAGCAACATTCTCTTGGTTACTAACTCCATCCCAGTCAAACCCAGTACAGCAAGTTATGGGTTGGAACAGCCAGCTGCGTGCTGCAACAAACATGATAAAATAATTACATACCCAGGAAGACACTGCAAGGGATGAGAGTTCACTGGGAAATGGCTGGCTGCTTTAGCTGTAAGCAGGTCTAAGAGGGTAGTAAATGATGCTTGAGGATGAACTTTTGTGAGTTCATTGTGAAATCTGATGAAGGATTTTTTCCCAAGGGTCTCCTCGAAGCATAAATGGAGGAAAAAGTGTTGCACTGGCTCTGTGAACCAGAGAGGATCAATTGGCTTTGGCAGACTAAGTGTTAAAGCTGCATCAGGTGACAGGGATCCCAAGTTCAACTCCTGTGCTGCCACCACCGTGGGGGGTGAGGGGGGTAAAGCTTTGTGTATGTACAAGGTGGTCGATGAAAACAGTAGAACTACAAGAAGTTAAGATGGTCCTGCAAGGTCCCTGCCTCAGAAGAGAGGTGATGGGGCAAGGTGCCTACTGAGCATGATCAACCAGGACCTACTCTGGATCCTCAGGTGGATCATGGGATGCAGCTGTTTCTCAGGAGTGGTCCCTGATGCTGTGAACCTCCGGTATGAGCTCAGAGAGAGCCTGACCTGTGCCCTCTGCCCAGGACATCAGGCTGTGTCTCTGTGTCTTGTTTGGGTGGTGACAGAATGAGGGCAGACCAATAACACAGAGGGCTGCAGCAGGGCCCCCATGATTTTCCTACTCGGGCCTTTTCTGCTCTGGTCTTGGAGCTGGTTTGCTCTATAAATCTAAAATGAGGGACACATAAGAGGTCCAACAGATCATTTCTTCCTTCTGTGGGGGTATAAGTAATCACTGCTGGCTGTTTGAACTCCAGGATATCTTGTCTTGCTCCCCTTGGCTGTACCTGTGGAACAGCTGAAGCTTCTCCTGTAGCTGTAACCGAGCACCACCATTATCCTTGTTGCAGGAAGGACCAGCACCCACTGGAACCAGGTGGTCCAGGGAGCCTATCCAAGAGGAGGACAGGGGATGTGGGAAGCAGCTGGCCAGCACTGTGGTCTGGATGCATCATGGAGTGCCCTGTACCTATGTGATGTGTGGGCAGGGGGACAGCACAGGTAGGGGATGGCAGCTGGGACTGAAGTGTGTGAATCCCAACAGGGAATCCCTTGATGAACAAGACTTCCCAGAGCTGAGAGTGCTCCTGGTCTACAAAATGTAATGTAAAAATTAAAAAATCTTAAAAAATATCTCCGTCCCACCCCCTGCCATGGGCAGGGACACCTTCCACTACACCAGGTTGCTCCAAGCCCCATACAACCTGGCCTTGGACAGTCCCAGGGATGGGGCAGCCACAGCTTCTCTGGGCAACCTGTGCCAGGGCCTCCCCACCCTCACAGGGAAGGATTCTTTCCCAATATCAAAGCAGTTTACCCTCTTTCAGTTTAAATATGTGGCTTTTTTCAGCAAGAGAGAGCTCCCCTGGCTCTGTCAGCGCCTTTGGACTGTCTAATGTCGGGATCAGGAACTTGCACCAATTCCAGGGTCTCCAGTGACATTAAAGATGCTAAAATTGGGATTAGCAGTTGGTATTGTGTCTATATAAGGCTAAATTGGAGTCTTAAACCTCCTTTGATGCTGCAATGTTTGCACAGCAGCTGAGAACTTGAGTAAAATTGTAGTTTTACTCTCAGCTTGGGGAATCATAGAATCCCAGAACAGTTTGGGTTGGAAGGTACCTTAAAATTCATCTAGTTCCCACCCCCCTGCCATGAGCAGGGACACCTTGGACCAGAATTGGAAGAACTGGACTAACCCCTCTTTACCTTTTCCCCCATGGATTTTGAGCTAATGTGAAAATATCAGTTCAAGTTGAATTTTGCAGGCTTGCAGAACAGGTACTTCCAATGGGATGTATAACCCTTCAGCCTTTGTAAGATCCTGCATTTTGAGCCCCCCTGTACAACCCTGTACAGCAGGTTGGTCCACTGCAGCACCTGAAAGTCTTTGTGGTTCCATGTGTACCTCGAGACTTCTGAATCCCTCATTGAATTCCCCGTTGCTGCTGTGCCGGGCATGAGACAAAGCAGGGCCTTGAATAGCCTGTTTGGGTATTTCTTGGTTTAGGTGTTCATGACTGAAGTAATTATCTAAAATATATACTGATTTAAGCCTTGAGCTCACCACCAGTGACTTTTTGTTTAATGTCTAAAACCTTGTGTGACTGCTCAGAGACTCTGAAATCCAGAGGTGAAAATCACAGCTTTGGTATTTAAGAATCCTCGAAGTTTGGACTTGTGATTTTTCTGGTCAAGGATCTTAATTCCTGTGGGGGAATTACAAAAATTTTAAAACATTGTTTTCATTGGCAAGCTCCTTTAAATGGCAGCAAGAAACTCACAGGGGACAGGGTATGACACTAGCGACTGTACTTGACAGCCGATGGCTTCAAAAGCAGGAGGTGAATGTTTTGCCTGGATTCATCCAAGATTTCAAGTTTTCCAGGGCTTGGTTTGACTGGTGATTGCATGTAATGTTCACTAAATGCAAGGATGTAACAGCAGAACTGATGGAAAATGTGCCCCAGAGATAGGGAGAAAAACTTGAAAATGATCAGTAGGGTCAGCAAAACATAAATAAATTAATACATTTTAAAATAGACATAGCTCTGTGGCTTTTCAGGTACCAATCTTTGGGGCTGGAGGTAATATTTGCCTTGCATCAGCTACTGCATTTTGCCAGTGGCCCTGTAAGAGCTGTTCCTGCTGACCTGGCAGGCACAGGAAATCTAAATATTTAAAGTTTCAAAGGCTCCAGGTAACGCAGTGAGGCCTGTGAGGTTCTGCTTCAGGCCATGGTGTTCCAGAATGCCCATCAGGGGTGTGTAACTGAGGTTTTGTTTGCTGTAACTTGTGCTTTTTGTTGCTTCACTCTCAAAGTCCACTTCCAGCAACACCAGTAGGAGCTGTGGAGGGTGATGTGTTGTCCATCAGACCTGCAGTGCCGAAGGGATTAGACACTGATTAGAATTCCACAATCACTGAGGTTGGAAAAGCCCTCCCAGCCCATGGAGTCCCCCCTGTGCCTGACCCTCACCTTGTCCCCCAGCCCAGAGCATTGAGTGCCACAGCCAGTCCTTCCTTGGACACCTCCAGGGATGGAGACTCCACCACCTCTCTGGGCAGCCCCTTCCAAGGCCTGACCACCCTTTCCATGGAGAAATTCCTCCTGATGTCCAACCTGATGAAGCTGCTGGGTCCAGTGCTAAGGAAAGAGTTGTCTCATTCCATGGAAAACTAATGATTAAAAGTGAACAGAATAACTATATTCTATCTTTGACTGTGGAGATATAGGGAATTCAGTGCTCCCTGAATTCTCCTATTGGGAATTCAGTCCTGGGAAAAAGGCACTGCAGCCCATCCCTTATCAGAGAGCTGCTGCTAAAGGGAGAAAAGCTGACAGCAAATATTTATCCTGGGATCAATTCTGTTTAAAGTGCAATGTTTGTAGCAGGGCTTGGGCGTGGGGAGGTCAGGCGTGGGATCAAGGCTGCATTTATATAAAGACAGGAATATGCACTGGGAATCCTTGTTTAGAAAGCGAAAAGACTGGAGAATTTTGAGAGACACATCATGAGGGTCCTAATTTTTCTCCTCACAGTGTGCATTTTCTCATGCTCTGGTAAGTTGGAGCCACATCCTCTTCCTTAAGGTGGTTTTGGGGAGAAAATACAAGTCCACAACGAACTCCTAATGGAGCTGTGCTTCCCTCTCAGGGTTTCCAGCCTATGACTATGAACTCCCTGTCGTGGAAGAGGCTCTCAATGCTTCCATTGCACGGATCAATTCCCAGTCCTGGGGGAGGAACCTGTATGGTGTTGTCAGGAGCCACGTCACAGGAGTAAGTGCACAGAAACCGGGGATCCCTTACCTGAAACTTGCTTTGCTGGGATGCAAAACCCTTTTCCACCCAGCTCTGGAAACCCAGATTTCGTTGGAATTCACTGCTTGGAAGAGGGTGGGCTTGGGGCATTATCGGGAATCATGGCTTTAGGAACACAAAACTCCTTTGTATGTTGGTTTGTGATTAAAAATACTTTAGGAGTTCAGGTTTTTCACCCTTAGAACAGAAAACTTTGAAGGATGTCTTGTAGGATTTTGTTCAAAAGTGGTGGTTTTAAATACCTCCAGCTAACCACTTTGCTTTGGGCATCAAGCAACCTGGTTCATCTCAAGGTCTCAGCTGATTAAATGCCACCACACATTCTTTCTCCAATCTGTATTTGTCACCTGTCTAAACCACCAGTTGTGGTTTAAATCTGCTGCAGTCTAAATGCAGGCAGGAAACCTCTATCTGTTTTAATTTGTTGTGCTAAGAATTGTATTGGATACCTTGAGTTAAGGAGTTTAAGCTTCTTAATTCCAAGTTAGCACATCCATGCTCCTGAACACCCTCAGAACTGTTTCTGTAGGTGGCATGTATCAAGTCTTCTGCAAGAATGAATGACAAAATGACTGCTGAATTTATATAGTCTAGAGAAAAAACAAACAAATATTTGAAAGCAATGCTGATCTGTTGTTAGTTGGGGGTTTTTTGGGGGAGGGGAGGTTGCTTTTTTTTTAGTCTCTCATCTGAGCTAAAACATTGATTAGACTGTGAGAAGGAGAAAAAAAAATAACAAAAAGCAGTCAAGCTCTCTAAATCTTTTGGTGGTGTGTGCATGTTGCCCATTGAGGCACCTGAGCTGACATGAAGTGCCTCTATAAGCTCCATTAAATCACTTGCTTGCTCTCATGGGATTTATTTTCCAAGCCAGGTGTTTCCGATAGACCTCCCAGCAGTCAGGATATCCAAAACAGAGCTTTTGGCACCCTGGTTCTCACAAAGGAAGGGGTAACATGCAGGGGAAATGCTATGCTCATCTGCCTTTGACAGTTTAGGTCCCCACAACTCTGAGCAGTATCAGGATCCAGCAATGACTGGAAGACTCAAGTGGAGTAAGATTCAAGTGGGATTCAACCCCCATGAGTGGTGTTTCAAGTGAAATCCCCATGGAAAACTGTCCTATGTTGCTGTTACCAATAAAACAAGCCTTTCTCACACGCAGCAACCCGCTCTAAATTGGGCACTGATGCCTAATGCCCTCAGGTCATCTTCTGCTTGACAAAACAAAGCAAGGTTGCCATGCAGTGGGCACAGAAGAGTGTTGTGTTGACCTTCCTTTTACCAGGTTGACATGTGGAACAGTGATGCCTACAGACTAGAGCTGCAGTTCAGCATCCGTGAGACCATGTGCTTGAAGGCTTCAGGGAGAGATCCCTTCACCTGTGACTTCAAAACTGGGCCTTATGTGGTAAGTGCCTCTGGTAGGAATGGGAGCCCTCCCCTCCCTGCAGGATGCTCTCAGGATGTGTTGGGAATGCTACTGGTGCTGAAAAATGAGGAATGACTGGCTTTCTGAAAGCCTAAACAGATACAACCCACAGCATGGAGTGGGTGTTAGGTGGGAAGGGTCAGTGCTGGGAAAGTCTTTTGCCTGGAATACAGGGGGGAATACAGGGACTGCTGTGAGCTGAAAACAGGATTTGTGTCTTGGAGCAGCATGTAGGAAAAGTGTCTGTGTGTTCTGGGGCCAAATCCCAGAAGGAATGGCTTCTTTAAGATAAGATGGTGGAAGAGCTGATGTTTGACCGGCTTGAGCCTATCATGCCTCTGGGCACCAGGTAAAGCTTTCTCTTCCCATGCAGTACAGATTCCCTCTCTGTGCTGATGGCTTTCAGCTCTTCAACTCTCAGCCTCAAATAAACAGGTTCTTGATGCAGTTCTTGCTCTGGTCTTGATTCTCAAATCACCAGCTTTGGTGAAAATATGTCACCTTTGAGTCTGGACTTCTTTGTGCACAGTTATTTTGGCCAAATCACAGCTCCCACTGAGAGTTTCTGAGGGCTTGTATCCTAACTGCTGGCACAGATCTTCCACAGATATTATCTCTGCCTTTATGCTGCTCCAAGCTGAACTCTTCTAACCCCTTTTCCCTCTAGGAATGGCTGCCAAACTTACTTGTCCTTCCTGGGCACAGTCTTTAGGGAAGAGCAGGGATCTGGAAAGGCGGTCAGCAAGGTGCAAAGGCTTTCCTCTCAGCTTATGAGTAGTGTTACTCCCACAGGAGGCAGTTTACCCCATAAAAAGAGGAATGGAGTCCCTTTGAGCATCTCTACTCGTGAGCTAAGCAGCTGGTGTGTTTGTGTAGATGGCACCACACAGAACTGATGGTTATTGCTTGGTTTTCCTTAAAAACACAAGGGTTGGCTGCTATGGTGTTATCCCTGGATCCTAAACAGACACCATCCCTCTTTTCCTCTTGGGGCAATACAGTGTGAAAGATAGTGTGAGGGTGTGTTTTCCAAACTCGAGTGCAGGTTTTGCTGGAGCTTCTGTCAAATTGCAGAGACAACTTCTTTAAACAAAGGTAATTTAACATTCAGAGCTGGAGCTGCCATTGGCATAGCCCTACACTGCCCCTGTTTGTTGTCCTTGGTGATGCCAGGGCAGTGAAAAGGATGTGGAGGTTTTCTCCTACCTCGAGCAGGCTCAAGGCTTTGTACAGCCAACAAGTAGTTGTGGAGGAATAACCTGTGTGTCCTGTATAATCTTGCTTGAGTTTCTTTCTCTTGGAGTTTTTTTCTAACTCCTTCTACAGGTTCCCACCCCCAAGGAAACTCTCATGTACTGGAGGTTTGCCCTCTGAGATTTGCTCTGTTCCATTCTGTTACAGCCAACTGCTTCCTGCAGGAGTGTTGTGGAAGTCTCTGATGAGCAGATTTCCAGTGTCATCGTGCGGTGCCACCGTGGCACCTTCAGCTCTGAGTCGCTGAGCAGCGAGGAGGTAAGGAAAGGGAAAACCTGCTTTTGGCTGCCTGGGGGAGAGAAAAGTCTTCTTATCCTCTTTTAAAGAGAAGTCTGTGTGTGAACTGCAGTTCCAAGACTGGAGGTCTTGATCAGAAAACTGACTGTGGTTTGAAATCCAGCTGTGTCCTGTTACACTTCCCTTTGCATCAGCTGAGGGGTTTGACCCTGCTAAATGTGTGAATCTCTGCAGCAGCCTGGCACACCCACCAGCTCCAACACTTCCTTCTTTGAGTATGTGCCTGGAGAACAGTGATCAGCATGTCTTGGACAGAAACAAATCCTGATGGCTCTGGCTCTGACACCAAACCCAGCTCTCAGCTGAGCATGTCATCACAGCACAACTGAAGGACGTTTGCTCTGCTGAGATCTGTGTGTTCCCTTTTTGAGCTCTTGTTTGATTTTTAGGGTGTGATGAAATGCTGACCAAACCTGGGAATTCCTGCTGGCTGTTTTCAAATCATGCCAGTGTCCACTTTATCCTTGAACTGACACCTGAACCTGGGTGCCTGCACTTTGAACACAGCTCTACACTGGGTGTTGTGCTTGAGGGAACAAAGTTTCTCAAGGAAGCACATGGAAAGTTTTTAATTCTGTAAAGTATAAGGGACTAAATTAATAATTTGGGTTGGAAGGGATCTGAAAGCTCATCCAGTCCCACCCCCTGCCATGGGCAGGGACATCTCCCATTATCCCAGGTTGCTCCAAGCCCCTCCAACCTGGCTTTGGTTACTTCCCAGGATGGGGCAGCAACAGCTTCTCTGGGCAACCTGTGCCAGGACCTCCCCACCTTCCCAGGAAAGAATTCCTTCCCAATATCCCATCTAACCCTGCCCTTGGGCAGTGGGAAGCCATTCTCCCTTGTCCTGTCACTTGTGAACATTACAAACCCTTGTGAAAAGTCCCTCTCCAGCTGCCTTGTAAACAAATAGGATTCTGTGTCACCTTCACTTGGCTTGAATTGCCAAATTAGCTTGTAATTTATTCTTTTTTTTCTCAAAATCTCTTCAGAGCTAGCTAGTGGCTGCACCACAGGAAGTCTTGATTTGCAGAGCAGAAAGGCTGCATGTGAAACCCTGAATTGTGGAACACAGCACTGGATGTTCAGTCAGTCCTCTGTGGGTTGACATAACTGTTGTTTAATAGGGCACTCAGCACAAACACTTGTTTTTACCAGCAGACATCTTCCTGCAAGTCTTCCTTAACCATCACTTAAAAATTCAGTGCTGCTGCCACTAGTCCTGCTGGGGAATGTATTTCCTGCAATGTTAATAAGGAATAAATGCCAAAGGGAATTATTGCACTTGAAAAGAAAAGTGTTTCCCTCTGCAGAGGGCTGCAGCAAGTGCACTGTAGCTCTTGCTTGAGGGCTGTAACTCAGCTCAAGGGACCTCAGCCTGGCTGAGATGGTGTCAGTGTAGCTGTGGTGGTATTTGGGGAGAAAGAATTGGGATTGACTGAGGCTGGGATCACAGGATCTCCTGAGCTGGAGGGAACCCACAAAGATCACCAAGTCCCACTCCTGGCCCTGCATGGGACACCCCAACAATCCCATCCTGTCCCCGAGGGCGTTGTCCAAACGTTTCTGGAGCTCTGGCAGCCTTGGTGCTGTGCCCACTGCCCTGGGGAGCCTGGTCAGTGCCCAACCACCTCTGGGGGAAGAACCTTTTCTTGGGATCCAGCCTAAATCTCTCCTGGCACACCTCCAGCTATTCCCTCAGGTCCTGTCAGTGGTCACACAGAGCAGAAACTGGAGCTGCCCCTTGGGTGGAAGCTCAGACCCTGATGAAGGCTGAGCTCAGTCTCCTCCAGGCTGAACAAGCCAAGTGATCGTGACCAGTGGGATCTCGTTACTTGGTTAGAGACCAATAAAACAAGGCTTTTAAAAAGACAACTTTGGATAAATGTGTCCAGGGGGTTCCCCCTGTGGCTGCAACAGAGTAGGAGCTCTGCAGGCTCTGCTCTCCTGGCTGTGTCTGCACTGCAGGGAGGTGAGGTAAGGTTTGAGACACGAAGGATTTGGATCTGAGAGCCTCCCTGCAACCACGAACTTCCTTAGCAACGCCACTACTTCGCAGGACTATCAGCAATACTTGTTCTCAGCAATATTAATGATGAGGTTTGGAATTACTTTAGTGATCACCCGGTGCCTGAGGAAAGGGAGAGGTGGACTTGTTGATAGATGGGCTTTTCAAAGAAATGTCTTTAATTTACAGATGATGTATGTGCCGAAAATGACCCCCGGCCGGGGAGGCAGCGCTCGCAGGGAAGGTAAGACAGCCCTGCCATGATGGACTGCCTTGGCCTGTGTTTGCCTTTTGTAGCATCTCAAGGTCATCTGTCTGAGGGAGAAGACAATGTGGAAGGTCAGCAGTTTGCTTTGGTCATGGGCAGCTGGTTTTTCCTTTGCTGAGGATACAAGGAGGGCATTTTTCTGCCAAGCAGGGCCACGCTGAGGTTTACGCATTGTCTGGATTGCCAGATTTGTGCTCTCATAACCAGGACTTGTGTGCAGCCTCGAGGGTGCCCCGATGTCATGCTGAATGCTGAATATTATTTATTTTAGAATCCCAGAATGGTTTGGGTTGGAAGGGATCTTAAAGCCCATCTCATTCCACCTTCTGCCATGGGCAGGGACACCTTCCACTAGCCCAGGTTTCTCCAAGCCCTGTCCAACCTGGCCTTGGACACTTTCTTGGGCAGCCACAGCTCTGGGCAACAATGAACACACTTGAAAGCGTCTAATGCTCATGTATGTCACCATGTTCCTTTTTAGAGGATGTCTTTGCTCCTGAAGCCTCACCTTCGAGGGGAAGAGGTGGCAGCCATGGGGATTGGCACAGACTCAGCTCTGACAAGATGGAATAATCTGGTTTGGGTGAGTACAATTCCAAGTGGAGCATTTATACACCCTAGGTCTGCAGTTTTTGGGGCAGGGTGGGGAAGTGGCTGCTCAGGAGGAAGGAGCTCTTGTTCCTTCACTGCTCAGAAGACATCCCAGCTACAGATCTCATGGCCATCACTCCCTTTTGAGTTCCATGTATGTATATGGCCATCCCACATACTCCCACGAGTGTGCTGGGGTGCAGTAGTGTGAACAGGGTGCAAGAAAATCAATCTGCTGAGTGCGAGTTTGACACAGAGTTCAAGACTTTTTGCCTTCATTTGCCTCACTCCAAGGACATTGAGGGGCTGGAGCACATCCAGGGAAGGGAACGGAGCTGGGAAGGGGCTGGAGCAGCAGGAGCAGCTGAGGGACCTGGGGGGGGCTCATCCTGGAGAAAAGGAGGCTCAGGGGGGACCTTCTGGCTCTGCAACCCCCTAACAGGAGGGGGAAAACGGGGGAGGTCGGGCTCTGCTGCCAGGGAACAAGGGACAGGAGGAGAGGGAACAGCCTCCAGCTGTGCCAGGGAGGTTTATATGGGACGTTAGGGGAAATAAAATTCACCAAAAGGGTTGTAAAGCTTTGGAACAGACTGCCCAGGGCATTGGAGGAGTCGCCATCCTGGAAGGGTTCAAAAAACCTGTGGATGTGGCACCTGAGGACATGGCTTAGTGGTGAACAAGGTGGTGATGCTGGGCCTTGATGATCTTTTCCAACCTTAGCAATTCTTCTGTGATTCTGTGTCTCTTTATTGGCAGACACATTTCTGCCTGATGTTTCATGGATTCTTTGGACCTTATCCCAAAAAACCTTGACACATGGCTTCTGAAACAAAAACTGACTGTGGTGTAATGGCTCTGGGAGAACCACAGTGCTGTTTGCCCAGGAAAAGCATTTGTTGCAGATAATCTGTGAAGGAGATGTTTGGAGCCCAATTAATGGGAATGATAATGAAAGACACCCATGATTTATTGGAGCTGGCAAGGCCTATCCTACACAATCCACCTTTACTGACCTGCTTCTAAGGCTCTGTGTGGGAGCAACTCTAATTGCTGCTGCTGTCTTACTTGCCATTTTAGGGATTTAATCTAAAGGGGAATGCTTTGAAAGAGTTTTGGCAAAACAGAATGAGCTCGTTCTTAGGCATGTTAAACAGGTTTAAAGCAGTTGGGAAAGGAAGGTAGTGCTGTGTCTTTGTGATTAAAAAGGCTTCAAGTACTCACTGGGGCATCATTAGCAGGTGTCTGTCCCTGGAGAGGGCCAGAACTGAGCTCAGCTCAAGGCTCCTGCACTGGAGCCAGTTTTAAACAGAATTTAACACCGATGACTCACCAAAACCTAACACATGTTACTCATAAGCATATCTGTGGTAAACTTCCCTGTGCTGAAGGAGACAAACCCCCTGCTCTCCTGGAAACAAGATATGAAAGGAAAACCCAGGCACTCCGTTCTGTTTGTAAAAATGATTCCATTAAACCCATGTGCTATTTTAGTTTATCCATGAGCCACTAAAGCCAATGGGCTGTTTTAATCACTTCCTGTCTTCTATAGGAATCCTAATTTTCCTTTGCATTTGGGAAGTGCCAGGTATCTTTAATCCTTTGGCTCTCAGGAAGAGCTATTCCCGTTAAGCTTTGACACAAATGCTTTGTGTTCCTGTACCTAATGCCTAAGAAATCTCCAAGCCAAAAGCAACCTGTAAAATCTTCTTGAAAGAGAAAGTGAAAAAAATGGGGAGAAATGTATGCTTCTTGAAATCCTGAGCAGCTCGAAATTTAATACTTTCTGCTTGCTCTTGAAGATGGGTTGCAAGTGGCATTTGTGGAGCTGTGTTTCATCCCAGTGTCCTCCTGGGTTTTGGCCATCTCAGAGGCAGATGCCCCATGAGACTGGGAGAGAATATCAAAACCCCTCAAAGCTCCCTGTTTCTCTTTTTTTTTATCAGTTTGACTTTTTAGCTGTCAAGTGTGGAGAAAAGTCTTCTTGATTTGAGTTGTTTCCAGAATGAGAGGGTTTCACCCCTGGGTTTAATTTGGATCCACACAGCCCCAAATGATTTCATGTGTTTGAGGCCAGGAAAAGTTATTCCTGCCTGTTTTCCCCGGGTTTTGGCACCTGTGTGATCCTGGCTGGAATTATTACAAGCCATACTGTGATGGCAGTGTTTGGTGGGGCATGGGAAATGAGAGTTTTGAAATGGCAGCAGCTCAGCTGGCTTAGCTTAGCTGAGAATATTTTGGGGGAGGCTGGGGAAATAGTAATTTAATAATAGAAGACTTTCATCTCTTCCTCAAAGAGCCTGGTGCTGACAGGCAAAGCTAGACAAGTTCAGGTGAGAAATGACATGTGATTCCTTTTTTTTACACAACAGGACAGATAACTGGCTGCTGCAAAAATTACTCAGGCAAGTGGCTGACAGAGTTTTTCATGCTGGATTTTAGGTTTTCTGAACTAGATCTTCTCATCTTTTTGGCTAGAGGAGTTATTTCAGGGGAAATCTGTGCCTGGAACTCTGTGCAAGAAGCTGGGCTAAATGATCTCACTGGTGCTTTGTAGCTTCTTTTGTTTATTAGAATGTGCTAAATATTCAAGAGGGGGGAAAAAATCAGTGCCATTGTTACATAAAGAACTTTTTCAAGTCTGCAGCTGTCAGACCCACTGGTCTGCTGGGGCCTGCAGGAGTTAGAAACTGCATATGAAAAATCCATCAATGATTAATGAGCTTATTTCAGTGACAGGTCCTAATCAGATTTTCTGGATTTATTTCCTAGCGTGTCTCCAGAACTGGAGAGATCTAAAATTCCCACTGCATGCTGTGGGCCAGCCTTTCCAACAAAAGGCACGTGAGGGAGCGACAGGAGGAGGGGAAGCTGCTCCTCGGTACAAGAGCTGATCACCTGTTGCAGGACAACCTGCAACAAGGGTTGAGGTCATCAGTGAGCTTGGCCAGGGATGTTCAGAGCCTGTGGGAGCACCAGAGGGCATGTTAGTGATGCTGCTGAACTCCTGGGGAATGTGCTTGGAAAAGATGCTGCCTAGCGTACAAATAATATGAGAGGCTCTTTTGAGTCTGCACAGGACAAGGAATTCGGGGTTCTCTTAAGCTGGAATCTGCTTAATGATGTTTGTGGCTCTGAATTGCAAAGAGGAGCCTAAAAATAGCTCAACCTCGTCAAACACCTCGAAGCCCAGAAAGCAAATGGGTCCCAATGCTCTGCTTTTCCAAAACCACCTGCCTAAGGAAGTTTTTCTGCGCAGGGGGAAGCCTGACCTGTGGCTTTTATCTGGAATCTCCCCAGCAATGCTTCATGGCCTTGAACAGGAAAATAAAGCAGCAAGTTGCCTTTGCAATATGCACGTATATGGTGAATGCTGATAGTCTCTTACTCATTAATCACACGAGGAAAGCATTTTTTAGCAGAAAATCAAATCCCTCCAGCATCAAGGCTGTGATTTCCTCCTCGAGTTTTCTCTATTTTCCTTACAATTACTCTCTCTTACCTGGCACACCTTGCTGCTGGCAGGAATATGGTGGTTATTAGCAGCTGATTAACAGCCTTGCAGATGCCAGAAGAGTGGCACCCTTGAATATTAGGGTTTGGTTGTGGGTTTTTTTCAATGGAAAAGTAACTGGCAGCATTGGGCCTCTTTTCATACCAAGAAATCCAGGATCTGACCTTCAGAGTGAAATGGATGCTTGTTTATCTGTCTTCTATTGATATAATACCAGAGCAGGGTGCAAAGCCCTCCTGGGGCACGGGAAAATGAGCTTTAATCCCCTGTGTCCTCATTAAGGAGCAGCTTGATTTTAGTTGTGCTTTCATATCCCTGTGTCTCTGGTTTTTTTTCCTCTCTCATTCACCCACCCACCTTCTACAGTTCTCAAAAAGCAGCTTATTGCTTTCTGGGGAAAGAAAAAAAAAATAAAGTGAAGCACCAGAGGGAAGGAAAATCCCTGGCGAGTGGGATCTGTTGCAGAGCGCGTGAGCTCCGTGTCGGAGCTTTGGGAGCTTTGGGAGTGAGAGCTTGGGGAATGACAGGCTGCTGTTTCATCCCTCCTGCCACAGAGCCTGTCTGTGATGGCTGAGCCCTTGGTGGCACCTGGCAGCTGTGATATGGCGTGGCAGGGAGGACAGCAAGCTTTCATCTGCTCGCAGGGAAAGGACTGGGATTGAAACAGAGCCAGGCAGGACCTTTCCTGGCGGAGGTCAGAGCTGTTCTGGCAGAGAAGGGAATTGCTGTGACAATCTCCTGTTGCTACTCTGAGCAGCAGCAATTTTTGTCTTGCCCTTTGTCCACCTCTTCTTGATCTGTTTCGAAGGATTAGACCCACATCTGCATGGAGGAAATTGTCCCTGCTCCTGGAGGATGCAGAGCTTGGATGATCCCTTAGGCTTCACAAGCCCCTTAATCAAATTCCTGGAGAAAACCAACGGGACTTCCCTCACTGGAGGAGCAGAAAGGGCTCTCGGCTGCCCTCAAACTGCTGCTCATGGTTGGATTTTGGAAGCACTAGAAACGAGCTTGTCAAAGGATCAGGCAGGCGGAGAAGGACCCCTCAAAGCAAGGCCAGGTTCCTGAGGCTGTGTGGCTCAAGTTAGGATACCCTGGGATGTAGATCCTCTTTGGGCTCTAGAGAGCAGCACTCTTGGGGGAAGGTTTTTTTCCTTAAACTGAGCTGGAATTTCCCATGTTCCCACTGGTTCCTGTGTCTTCTCCTGTCACTTGGTCCCCAATGGTGAGTGTAGTGGCTGGTCCTGGTCCTTAGGCCTGCACCCCCTCCTCCAGGGCTGGTAGGACCCAGGTGCTCTCAGAGGGTCACTCTATTTCATCACTTCCACATGTCTGGACATTCCTTTCTGACCCAAATCTATCCCTCAAATTTTACCAAGAAAATTGTCTTACTGAAACATTTCAGGTTGCCATGGTGACCAACTTGCTGAAGACACAGTGTAGGCTACAGAATGCTGGAGAAACAGTCACATGTTCCCTCTGAAAAACACATCTTCAATTTCTTCTGCATATTGAAGCTTTTAATTCAGATCCATCTCAGAGCAGACTCTACATCAGCTCCAAGCCTCAACCATCTCTGCTTTTGAGCCTTGACAACATGTGTTGATTTGTGTACTTATTTCCCTGCCGTTAATTTTTCTAACAATCTGCTTCTTTTTTTTTTCTCTCTTCTTTTACTCTAATTAGCCATTGCCATGACATTTGTGCACATATGTTTTGCATATGCAGGTTTCTTTCTGCAGATTCCACATGGTGGGACTCTGACGTTAAGCAAGTTAATAAGCAACTTGGTGAAGCTGAATACCCTTTTTCCAAGGCTATGGGTGTTTGGTTGGTTGTGTGAAGTATGAGACATTCTCAGCTCTGATATTTCTCCTTTCTCACTGTTTTTCAAATTAGATTGGAGAATGTGAAGAATCGAGATTAAAAGATCCAACATGGGAAGAAAGAACCTGGTGTTTTGTCCTTTTTTTTTTTTTTGTGAAAAACTATTCTGCAATGAAAAGAAGTCTTTTCCCAAACTGAGTTTCTGCCGTGATGGCAATTGGATGAGCTCATGAGATGCCAAATACACACTTGTCCATCGAGAGCCCCTCCTGATGTGTGGGATTTCCCTGGGAGGACTCTCAGACACCGAGTGTGTAACCGCGTGGAGGATATTTGTACCATCCCATAATGATGCTATTAAAAGCTTGTTATTCCACCTGTTTGTTCTACGTTGCTCTCTGGTTGGTTGTAATTTTCTGTAATGGTCTCAACTAATTATTGATTATTCAAACCAATAAACTCACTCAATTCCGTTTTCTCTGGGGTGCAGCAGCTGTGGAAAAGGTGTCTTGCTACAAAACCAAAGGCTTGAGTTGTAGCCCACCAGCAATCTGTCTTTAATGGGTACTTGGCCGCTAATGAGGGGAGCTGAGGGATGCTGATGACAGTAATTGCCAGGTACTAGTGGCTTTTGGAAGGAGGCCAGGTTAGAACTGACCTCTGGTATATTCCTCTCCCGGGAAACATGTCTTAGCAGTCTTGTCCCTTTCCCTCCACTCCATGCACAGAGCCCACCCTGCAGCTCTTTGTGAGGGGAAAGTTTACTGTGCAGTCTGGGGGGGGGTTCTGGTTGAGTTTTTTAATGCTTTATCAGTTATGCCATCGTCAAAATCAACTGATTTTTCTGTCTGAAGCAGCTCTCCCACCCAGTTTGGCTCTCAGTTAATTTTCCCTGCTCATTGCTGCAAGGTGACCTGATTTGTAGGAATTTCTATCGCCAAAGCATAAAGATACGTAGTCAGAGCCCTCGATGATCACCTGTAGCAGCAGCTGGGAGCAGAAGAAGGTGAAAGGTGCTGATAAGGTGCAGAGGTCCAACAGAGGAAGGGATGTTTTCCCTTTCCAGGGTGCTTTCACTTGGCTTGGCTCAACAGAACTGGGAACAATCAGCCCTTCAAGGCCAGCTTGGACGGGGCTTGGAGCAACCTGATCTAGTGGAAAGTGAGCAGAAAAACCTCCTTGGCTGTTCCCTGCAGACCTGTCTTTGTCTCCTGGGAAGGATAAGGTGGATTGACACATGAACCAGCTTCAGCTGGGTTTGTACTCCTCCCTATTTCACTCTTGCTTTTCCCAGTTCCCAACAGACAGTTCTCTTGGCCTAAAAGCAGTGATGCAGGGCCAGGAGTTGGACTCAGTGACCCTTGTGGGTCCCTTCCAACTCTGGATACTCCATGATTCTATGTATTGCTGATACATGATAATCAAACATGCATTTCTCTACCAAAAAAAAAAAAGGGGGGGGGGCAAAGGAAAGCCTTTATTTTTTCCCCAGCAAAATGAATTCTGCTCCTTGCTGCACGTATGCAAATGCCTTCACACCTAGAAGCTGATGTGGCATCTGCTGTGCAGATGTTTATCTGGCAGCAGGGAGTAATATTTCCTTTGTCGAGTTTTCCTGGTCTCAAATCGCTGACTCAAGCACTTGATGCTCCAGCATACCAATGACAGTTGCTATGGATGTTCCCTTCCAGCTCCCCCGGCTGAGACTCGGGTCTGCGTGAGCAGATCACGCGTTTTGTTGTCGGATTTTGCTCGGGGAGTGGAGATTTATGCAGCAGCAGGGACAGGGAGGGAGTTTTTCCCTGAGCCCTTCGAGATGCTGCTTGTCCTGGCAGGAATGTGCAGAGCAGAAATCTCCTCTTGCAGACTTTGAGGTTGCTCAGAAACTCTGAGGCAGCAAAAAAGGAGCGGTGGCTGAAGGGAGACAGCAAAGCTATGAGGGATTAGACCTGGCCTTGCTGTGTCTTTGTGGCAGTTTGAGTGTTGCCTCAGCAGAAGGTGAAATATAGCCACCCTTCAGTGCGTAGGGTGAGAGAAAAGGGGAGGATTTACATTGATTTGGACTTGGGTAATAATTTGGGGAACGAGCAGGAGCAGTTTCAGCCACCTGCAGTGGCAGTGGCAGGACCCCCGGCCCCTGCACAGCCAGTGTGTCCTGGAGAGCTCCAGCACTGCAGTGTGTTCATGGGGAAGGATGGAAACTGCTGACTTTTTACTCTCTGTGAGAAGTAGTACTGCATCCATGGCAGAATCACTCCTTTTTCTGCATTTTTCTCTGGGGTTTTTTGTATATCCCAACACTTTTTATGCTGACAGTGTCTGGGCAGGAATTCCCACGATGTGGGATGGATGAAGGACAACACCATGCAGTCATGCTGCAGAAAAAACAGGTTCAGTTCCCTTCATGCCCTTCAGCCAAGACTTGTGGAAGCACAGTGGGATTTGGGCTCTAGGGTGTCATAGCATCTCATTTCCCAGACCCTCTTTTTGGCATCATACCACGGATGGACACCCCATCCCTGGAAGTGTTCAAGGCCAGGCTGGACGTGGCTTGGAACAACCTGGTTTAGTGGAAGGTGTCTCTGCCCATGGCAGAGGTTGGAAAATGATGAGCTTTAAGGTCCATTCCAGTCCAAACCAGTTTGTGATTCTCTGACCGTTGCTGGGCACCGATGTAGTTTGTGCCACCACAGGTTTGGTACTGGTGCCTTGGTAGCCCTGTAGCAAATTCAGTTCATGTGGACTAGCTGGGAATGAGTAGAACTCCCAACAATAAAGTGGGGGGGTTAGTCCTACATGAAACTGGCCTAAAAATTGTCAAAGAGCAGAGATCACGAGCTGGATGGAGCCCCGCCCATGTGAGAGAGCAGGTTTATTGCTCATCCTGGAGGAATGCAGAGATTTCTTGGCACATGCTCTGCTGTCAGCAACCTCTTCTCAGGTTGCTAATTCAGACTGACCCCTGGATGATCTCTCAGAAACAAAGGAGAGGCCTTAATTGCCAAACCCATGTCCTGATTCAGAGAGCAGGGAGATGCTGGGATCGGGACCTGAGCGTTTTCCCATTCTGACTGAGCGTGTGGTTCGTCTGCAAATTTAACACGGAGACTTGGGAGGGTTTTAGGGAGACACAGCTGTGCTGAGGGTGGAGAACATCCTTTGTGGCAGAATAAATCAGTAGCTAATGCTCAGGCTGTTGGTGAGCTTGGCCACGCTGCTCCTGCTTTGCACTGATGCCCACTAGATGTCAGAATTGAACAAGTGCAAGGGGAGGCAGGAGCTCAGCTCTCAAATTACTCCCATTTCTTTTTTTACCTTCTGATTTCTGGCCTGCTGTGTGATAAAATGACCTTTGGGCAAGGAGGATCTGTGTATTTAAATGGTAAAGAGAGCAGGGGATGCAGAAGAGAAATGACTGAGAGACAAAAAATCCTGGACAGGTTAAAGTGCTTGTTTTGCCCATGGCAGCTCAGAGCTTAAATTCTGCTCCAGGCACAAAAACAGTTTTGCTTTTTACTCCATGGGACAGTGGAGTTTTCTCTCTCCCGCATGACAAACCCTTTTTGATAAAATGG